CGCTGTTCGCGGCCGGGGCTCCCGGGGACCGGCCTGCGCGGAGGGACCGCGGTGGGGAGAGGCTGGTGCCTCCCGGGCGCGCACGCGCTTCCCCCTGGCGGTGTTCGCCCGGTGCCCTTAACGCGCTGTGTTTGCTGTGTGTTTGCTGTGCAGTCACTTCAGAGCTGTGGGGGCCGCTCTCAAGGAGGATGCCCTGGAACTGATGGTGCAAGGTGGGTACCTGCCGTTGCGGGGGTAATGGAGAAGTTGCGCTCTGTCGGCAGCTCAATGATGATATAAAGGCTAATGTGACTCACCAGCTGGGTTGCACCCTCAGCCCATTCCAGCAATACGGGTCTGTAATCTTGGTGAACAACGCAGAGCTGTGCGTGTTCGCTGTAAGGGCAGGCCGACAGCAAATCCCCTTGCCTGCGTCCCTAGAAGGTGCATCACTGGGATGCATCAGCTCTGAGCGAGTGCTTCTGAGCTGACTGGGGGCTGTGGGAATAGGATAGGCAAGTGTCTCCAAGGTTTGAGTTGCAGGGGGCAGTCCGTGTTACAGCTGGCGAGATGTGAGCACAGGTCTTTGGTAATCTGAAAACTGCTCTAAGTCTCAGACAGGGGAGATGGCTGAGGGGCCTGGCCAGGTGTGCTCATGATTTTCTACCTCTCTCAAGTGGTGTCTCGCCATTCCAACGACCTTCCTGCCGTCTTGGATGATTCTGGCCTGAGCCATGCAGACCGCACTGCTCACCTCAATGCTCTCAAGATGAACTGCTATTTGCTCACTGGCCTGGTGGAGGCCTTTGAAATGGAAACCTGCAAGAGTGGTTTGGTGGGGCTGGATCCAAGTGGAAAGGTACGTAAAGGGATTGGGGAGAAAACAAGGTGATAGAAGTGGAAAACGTGTAAGCTTGCTGAAGTCTGCAGTATCTGTCTGATGTCGTTGCTGGGATTACTTAAGCGTGATACTAGCGAGGGCGGTGTGTAACGTGAAATACTTGCGTTTGTGAAAAGCAGCCGAAGGAATAATGCGTGTCTAAACATCAATGGGGACTCAAATGCCCAGACCTTCCGATTTTACTCTTCAGTGTCTGGCTGGCTGACCCTTAATGTGTCAGTATGTTCTCAAGGTCAAAGATAACGGCTCCTTTCACTTGACGTGGGCCTATAGGCTGTACACCTGTAGGTGTACATCTCTCTGTACACCTCTTAGTGCTATAGAGTTTGACAGTCAGTTTCATGTTTAAGGCAAGCAGAATGGTGGTGGTGTTTCTCCTGTTGTCAAGGTATCGATGCGAGTACCTCATAATTTCCTTTCTAGAACAAGAAGAACCGTACCAAGGCCTCTGGATTTTCCTGGGAAGAGGAGAGGGAGCCACTCTTACAGTTGCTCACACAGCTGCTGCAGCTGGATCTCCGTCGACTTTGGAGTGGTTTGGTGGTGGAAGAAGAATTTGTCAGGTGAGGGGAGTGCTGAGAAGTGACGGGTTGGAGTGAATGTAAGGGTGGGTTGGGTGACAGCAGGTTTGTGGGGGAAGAGGTTAATTGTTAAACCTGCCGGTGAGCTAGTATTACAGCTCTCGGTCGGGTGCAGATCTCCAGAGACTGAGGAAACAGTCCTGGGGCAAAAGCAAGGTGTTTAGGAACCACTTCCCTTCCTCATGTAGGCCTCTAAAATTAAGATGTTTGTTGGTCGTTCAATTTCTCAGACATACTGGAGAATACCTCTGGTTTGAGAGAAACTTTTGGCTAGTGTGGTTTGCTAGAATGGGATTGGTGTGATGGTCAGGAGGTTGATTGTCTCTCTACTGTGGTTTTAGCTTAATGACTGGAAGCTGCTACCGTATCCTGGAGAATCCAAGTATCGGTCTCCAGAAGCATCGAGCCACGCGGGAGGCAGCGACACATCTGCTTGCTGCAGCTTTGGTTCACTATGATCACATGTTCAGTGAGTTCCCGCTTTTCCACTTTCTTTCTGAAGCAATTCCCAGTTACTTTCTCTGACCTCTTTCTCCCTCCTCTTGTGTGAAAGGTGCCACTCTGAAGATCACGCAGATGCTGCAGCATTTTGAACACGTAGCCCCAGTGTTTGCTCAGGCTGTGAGCCTCTGGGCTACAGAGTATGGTCTGAAAAGCATGGTGGGCGAACTGCTGAGGTGAGAAAAACACCCCAAGGCTTGTATTTCTGTCCTTAGCAATTTGGGGAACTCTTTTCCTTGCTCTATCTTTCTATGCAGGGAAATTGGACAGAAGTGTCCACAGGATCTGGCCCGTGATGCTTCTGGAATCAAGGGTTATGCTGTCTTTATAACTCACCTGGCTGAACAAATTCCAGCTGTCGTGCTATCCAACATGAGTGTTCTGCTACGTCACTTGGATGGAGAGGTACGTTTGGGAAGGGGAGCTACATATTACCTGTCCAGAGAGGTTAAATGGTTGAAGTGGTGCTGTCTTTTTTTTTTTTTTTCTATCTGAAAAAAGAACATCTTTCAGAGAGACCAAGAAACCAAAACCAAAAACCTACCTTTGTCATAGGTTCCCCCCCTTATCTAAAAGATACAGAGAAAACAGAAACCATGACATCAGCTCCCTGTCTGTCATTTCCATACACCAGAGAAAACTAGATGCTGCTTCCTGGTCTGAGATCCCAGTTGTTGTCTCTTGTTTCTCAATACTGAATGAGCTTAATGGTTGTGGTTGTGTTACTTCATTTAAACTGTCCATAAAAGCTATAATTGTCTTTCACATCAGTCCTTGGCATCTGAAGATGTAGGTGGATAGCAGGGTGGGATAGCTCTCTCTACCTTGTAGACGCAGCCATGTTTGCCCAAGTTTAATACAAAGTCCATAATGGAGAGATTATTTAACTTAGGGTTGGAGCCTGGGACTTAAAAGGCCCAAACTCTGGGCCATCCTTCCCCTTGGCATACCAAGTCATGCTTTTTTCTGTTCCTGCTTCAACAACTTCTCTTTTTGCAGAATTACATGATGCGAAATGCCATTCTGACAGCTGTGGCAGAAGCGCTGCTGAAGGTGCTGAATGGTGACAAGCTAGAGGAAGCTGCCCGTGGTACTCGGGATCAGTTCCTGGATATACTGCAGGCCCACATCTGTGACGTCAGTGGTTTTGTGCGCAGTCGTGTCCTGCAGCTTTTTACTCAAATCGTTCAGTGCAAGGTAAGTCCATGCTGGGGAGATGATGATGTCTCAGGCTAAGGGAATTTCTGTTACCTTCCCCTTTATTTGCAGGGACTGAAGTTTAACCAAGAAAGTCATTGTTCCTGTGTGCGTTTTGTGTGGTGTCCACCCTTCTTTTTCTCCCAAGAGCCCAAAGATCCTAGGGTTGAGGGAACTGTGGAACAGACAGTTGCATGCTGCTTTTTGTTACCTGGAGAGAATAGAAGAAAGATCACAGTACACGTGCTCTTTCTGGATGTTGCTAAGGGAAAACATCTCCCTTGCTAGAAATATGTAAGACTTGGCTTGACAGGACCCTGGATAGCCTAATGTAAGGCCTTGTTTCCAACAAAGGTTGGACCACGAGATCTTCAGAGGTCTCTTCAGACCTAGAGTTTTCTGTGCTTATGTGATCTATGCCTTTCAGTACACCAGGCAAAGTAGGACAGCTTGCACGTTTAATAATACATCTGCAGTAAAATAACTTTTCGTGCATCTCTAGGCCTTCTGGTTACCTTTGTCTATGCTCTGATTGTGCACTAGGCCCTGCCTTTGACTCGATTCCAGTCCGTGGTATCTCTGGCTGTTGGACGTCTCAAAGACAAATCTGTGGTGGTTGTTAAAAATGCCATCCAGCTGCTGGCTGCGTTTTTGTCCAACAATCCGTTCTCCTGCAAGGTAATTCTTACTAGTGTGCTGGATATGCTAGAGCGTGTTTGCAGGCTGAATATCTGCAGTGTGCTAGAGCGTGAGCAGCAGGCTTTCTGCGCCTTCTGAGAAGGCCAACATAGACTTTCTGGGTGGGAGCCTTCTGGTTTTCCCACGTTCAGGTGTTACACTCCCTGGCTCTTCCATCACTTGGTGTAATTGATAGATATGCTGAAAGCCGAGAGGGTTGTCATCTTTATTGTGAAAAACCTGCATCAGTTTGATATGACTCGACTGTGGGATTTCTCTCCATAGGACCAGATTTAGGCATTAGGACGTGCTGTAGAGCTACAGCTCTTTGCCAATCTGAGGTTCAGAAGCTGAGGAGAAGGTTGAGCTATTGACAATTTACAGCAGTTCCCATCCTGGGATGGCGGCTGGAGTCTGCTATTTCAGCTTCAGAAAATGAAGGATAAAGTAACATATTTCTTCTTTTCTTTGTGCTGTCTCCAGTTAAGCTGTACTGACTTGGTCGAGCCACTCAAGAAAGAGGTGCAGAAGCTGCAAGAAATGAGGAACCAGCGTAGAGCCACAGCTGGTAACTTCCCTTCTTCCTGTTTCCCCTTCCCAGGGTGTACCTTGTGCTCTGGCCAGCAGGAAACTCTCTGAAAAAAAAACTCGTGTGAGCAGGAATCTCTCTGGGCTCATTCTCCAGTGTCTTATATTTGCTCTCGGGTTGTGGTGGCTTTTGTCTCAGGCAAAAGTGAGGCCAGAGCACTGGGAGTGAACTCAGAACACTTTTTCATGCACTGGGGTAATAAAAGGAGCATAAGAAGGGCCATACCTAGATCAACAGTCCGTTTGGCCAAGTATCCTATTTTCAGGGTAAGAATTTAAAATATCTATGAACATCCTCCCAGGCTTCTGTTGTCAGCCATTCAAGGACTGTTTGAGGCAGAAGTTTGATCAAATATTGATTTGAACTTGATAGCCTTGGACCTGCTGCCTACAAAGCAATAAATAGCACATGATGGTTCTCTCTTCCCTGTCATTTCTCCCCTCAGTGGTCTCTTTTCTATAGTGAAGAGTTCTTGTTTGTTCTTACCCCGATATGGATGGGGTCAGCGATGGGAATAGTGTCTGCAGTGGGGATTTGGGGGGGAAAAAAGGGTAGGATTCCTAAGTTTCAGAAGAGTTTCTCCCCACCTCAGGGTGTCATCTGAGTCTCTGAATTCCTCGTTCCCTCCATTGTTTCTCCATAGCTGCAGCAATCACTCCAGAGGAAGAGTGGGAAGCGATGTTGCCAGAGATTAGGGCTGTCACCCAGCAACTCCTTCAACCGCTGCAGGGAGAAGAAGAAGAGGTACTAGAAGTTGAGGAAACAGCAGAGGCTACATCAGAGCGCATTACTGGGCTGCTGAGGAAACTAAATTACAAGTAAGGAGGCTCTGCAGTTTGAGGAAAGGGTTTATCCAAAGTGATATGTCAGCCTCTCGTTCTTTGTTCACGGAAGGCTTGAGCTCCAGGGTGAAGGAAAGGTTTCAAGTTACCTCAGTCTCTTCCTGCAGAGTAACCTATGGGTGCTCGGCACAAGGTGCTGAGCTGCTTTCCCAGGTGTCCAGGGCAAAGTCAGATGTTTTCCCTTGTGTTCTCCCCTACCTGGTTGCTGATGTTTTGTTGTGCAATGTCACTATCCAGGGGTGCAGTTCGCCTTACACAGAAGGCCCTGTGTCACTTCCAGGGGCTGGAGCCCTTCAGTGGTCCCACAGAGGGAAATGAGGAGGCCACAGTCCTGGGCATTCTGAAGAGACTCTACACAGGTAACTGCTTCAAACCAGTCCATCTCTTGTCTGAGTCCAAAGCTAGACCAAAAGCTAGACCAAAAAGCCTCCAGAATGCTGTGTCCCCTGTCGTAAGCTTCTTTCCCCTGGGGCTTAGTCTGCATGTGCTTGACAACTCGCAGAACTACACCATCTCTGGTTCTTTATGCCCAGGTGAGAACCCTGAGGATGCTCCACGTGGCAGCAGTAGTCCTGTGACCAAAGATGATATGCTAGAAGAGCAGCCTCAAACAGATCTGGTCAAACAGGAGATGTTGGTGCAGTATTTGCAAGATGCTTACAACTTCTCAGTGAAAATCACAGAAGCCCTGAGTCTGGTCAGCAAGATGATGTATGAAAATTCTGTCTCAGGTGTGTGAAGTGGCGATGGGGCCCTTTCTTCCCTGTTTAGAGTTTCCAGGTTTCTCCCCTGGACTGTCAAGGAGATGTGGGTGTGATGGGGCTCCAGGGGAAGCAGAAGAGCTTGGAGGGACTTCTGTCCCTTGAGCAGATGTCACAGTCGCTTCCAGGGTATTGGAACAGCAGCACTATCTAAAGGGCTCTCTTGCAGAGGCATGAGAGGGCTGTACTGGGGCTGTGATTTGGTGGTTGTGCTTGAATTAGGCCAAGGTTTGGGGGTGTTTTGTTTTTGTTTTTTGGTTGGTTGGTTGGTTTGGTGCTTGTCATGAATCACCCTCTGGGGGAAGTGAGGGGTGGAGAGTGTAACACCTCCCTCCTCTCCCATCTTCCCTGCCCCATCAGCTTGCCAACCACTCACATAGTTTTGGGGTGCAGGTGGGTCTGGGCACTGCTGCACGCTACTGGTATCCAGAGCTTTATGCAAACACATCTGGGATTTCATCGGAGGTCACTTCACCTGTATTAAGAACACGTTATCCATAATAAGCATGTTGGTTTCTCCAACAAGGTTTGGATGTTGTTGGCTCTGTTGGCTTTTTGCAGACGCACGTATGAACTCTTGGGTTCAATCTCTTTACAAGTCATTTGAAGTTCAAGGCTGGGAGTGTGCCCCTCACCTGGTACTTCAGCTCCTGTTTTTTGAGTCTTTTTTTTTTTTTTTTAATGATTGAGCAATTTTTACTAACTTTCCATTTCCCTGTTGCTTTATCCTGTAGTATAGGGAAGGCAAATTGGATGTCTGGATTTCTGGAGATTTTAGCAAAAAATTCCATTCTCTCTGCACCAAGTAAACCACACAAAATGTCAAAAGTTTGTCACTTGGGCTAACCCCTATCCATCCATCCTGTTCCCCTCTGGAGATAGTGTGCTGCTGTGGGGTGGGGGGGGCTGAAGTACGGGCGTGCTCAGCAAGTTGCTCAAAGACGTAACTTTTTTAATTAGAGATTTAAAGATTTATTTTTCTTTTACACATGTGTGCATTCTGGCCTGAATGAGGGCAGGGGAAGTATACCAGTTTATCTAGATACAAATACTTACGTATCCCATAGGCATACAGCCTCTTTATTCAGGTCTCTTGCCCATACTGGTATAAGCTCTGCCTTACCAGAGGTCTGCAAACTGTTTGTTGTATAGGCCCTCTAGACATTACTGTGACTCTCTTGTGAATCATCTCCCACTTACTGGGGATTTCTTGTTTTCTTTTTTGTTTTTGTCTTAAGGATAATATATTCCAAGAGTAGTCAAGCTGGAATCAAATACAGTATTTCTTACCCACTTATACATCAGACAGCTTAGTTCTTCTTGTCACAGCATCGGACTGGGACTTATGTTCAACTGCTTTTATCTGCTGTGACCATGAGTTTTTTTTTTTTTTCTGAAGCTAATAAAATTTTGTCCTTTCTCACATGTGGCCTCTGTGCTCTTCTAGATATATCGTGTTACATTTAGTTCTAACATTGTTAATCAGTGCCCCTTTCCATCAGGACATCTAGGTCTCTGTCCTAGCACCCCAATTCTCACTTAAGCCTTCTGCAGACGTTAACAGTGATCTTAGATGCTTTTAGGGCTAGCTGTGAGAGCAGAGAGCCTATAAATTTGTTTTAGTGGTGTCTCTAATGAGGATAAGGAAGCAATGGCGCTAATGCAACTCTTCTTCCCTCTGCAGTGGTGCAGGAAGCCATTGAGTTCTTTGTGACAGTCTCACAGTTCGGCGTGCCCCAGGCAGTGCTTGGAGTCCGCAGGATGCTCCCCCTTGTATGGTCAAAAGAGCCTGGTATTAAGGAGGCTGTGCTGAATGCCTACAGGCGTCTCTATCTCAGCCCAAGTGGGGATTCAGAGAGGTATGAGCTCTTGATCAGAAATTTTTTTTCTTATTTTGTCTTTTGTTTCTTCCTTTGGGGAACTCTGGGAATGGGATATGGACAGGAAGTAAAATCAAAGTTGCTACACTTCACGCTGAGCTGAAACATGTGATTTTTTTTTTTATCAGCTAGTAAAGAGGCTTTCTCCGTTACCAACGTTTGTGCAGTTTCAGACGTTCTTATGCATCTGGGTATCCTAATGTTCCTGTGGAACATACTGCTGAGCTTCTGCTCTTGCTTTGTCATAGGGTTGGTGTGTAGGAAATTAATGCAGCAGAACTCAACGTGAGACCTTATGGAAGGGGAAGCTGGTAATTATTTTAAATGAAATTGGCTTCAGGCACTCACGCTTAATTCTCTCTTTAAATTTCGCTCACCCTTGCTTTCATACAAAGCCCCATACCAAGCACCAAGACCCATGTGTCCGAATGACCTGGGTACGATCACTGTCTGAGACAGAGGACAAAGGCTACTAAATGTTTGTCACGTCAGCTGGATTTTTTGATTGACCGTAATGAGCTGGTTTTTGGTTACTGCTGGTTTTAAACGCTGGCAGTCAGCTGTTGTTACAGGGTGACCCCTTATCTCAGAATCTTAGATACTTCACCCTCCTTGGGCAAGGTTGTTGCCCATTGCCTGTTTTCTCATTTTGGGTATTTTATGGCGATAGTCTCTCTTCCTGTTGGGATAAGCAGAAGAGGAATGGTATACAATGTACTGCGAACTTAGGAGTCGTTCTTCTGTTATCACAGCTCAGGTTTGCTGCTGACAAGTCTTGTGTGCTGTGGTTTTATCTGCATGTCAGCGTTCTGCTTCTGATGTAAACAATGCATTCCTCAATGTTTACCGGTTTTCTTGCTGTCATTCGTGACATTGGCTTTGAATATATATTATTCCTCACTCTATACAGGAGCTTTTTTTTTTTTTTTTTAATGCTTTCACATACATGTTTCCATTCATAATTCATTTAGATCAATTTTGACCTTCTGTTACAAATCTCTATGTATGGTGGATGAGAGGATGTTATCACAGAATGGTTGAGGTTGGAAGGGACCTCTGGAGATCATCTAGTCCAACCTCCCTGCTCAAGCAGGGTCCTCTAGAGCATGTTTTCCAGGATCGTGTCCAGGCAGCTTTTGACTATCTCCAGTGAAGGAGACTCCACAACCTGTCTGGGCAGCCTGTTCCAGTGCTCAGTCACCCTCACAGTCAAGAAGTTTTTCCTCGTGTTCAGATGGAACTTCCTGTGTTTCAGTTATTGGGGGTCTTTATTGGTTGCTGATCCTTATTGTAGGTTTGGGGGTGGGAGCTGGGTGCTATTCACATGCTTATTTTTTTCATTCTAGAGAGGATATGTTTCTCAGGGACGTGCTTTGTTTGTTTGTTTGTTTTCCATCCCCAGCACTTGTAAATCCTGTTGGATGCACATTCACTGACTTAAATAAGTGTGATCCTTGGTGAGATGCATTGCATCATGTCCCTATACCTCACTGGGGCTACAAGAAGCACCCTCTGCTTCTTGGTTCCTCTTGATAGTATTGACTGGAGACAGCTCTCCTGCAGTTTGAGCTCTGGCCTTATTCATTCATAATTGGATAGTCTTTCTTTCTGCTCTAAGGAAGAGTATTTTGACTTGTGGTTGAGAGGAAACTGGAAAGTGGCTGGTGAGTGCCTCTTGTTGGGCCTCCGTGTGGAGCATGGGGAGGAGCGGCAAGCACAGTGGCAATGCACTGGACAGTGGGCTTCTGAGCCCATGTCGTGCTCATCAGAACTTGACCTGGGGGGCTTGGAGAACTCCCGTTCATGGCAGGGGGAATTTTTCTTATCCCCAAGAATCAGCTCTGTTGTCAAAGAGAAGTTCTCAGCTCTCTGAATAGAAAAGTAATCATGGCACTTGCTTTTTCTTCTCTCTCCCTCTCTCTCCCCTCTCCCTCTCTTTTTCTCTCCTGTCCTCCTCCCCCTCCACCCCCAACAAAGGGCAAGGGCCCAGAGCCTGGTGCGATCTCTCTCTCTCATCATGGTGGATGCCTCGCTAGGAACGATACAATGCTTAGAAGAAATAGTGAGTACTTTCCTCACCTGGGTTTGGTTTGTATTTGTGATCTTAGATCTCTGTTACGTTCAAAATGGTACTCACTGAAGTTAAATGTCTGTACTGGTTTGGATTATGAACTGGTTCATCCTCCTCTGCCTCTCCCTACTTGTTTTGTTTCATTTCTTTTGCAGATCTCTGAGTTTGTGCAGAAAGATGAAATAAAACCTGCTGTGATCCAGCTGCTTTGGGAGCAGTTCACAGAAAAATCTCAGTGCTCATTGCTGGAACGACGTGCTGCCGTGATGCTGCTAGGGATGATGGCACAGTGAGTGCAGGGCCCAGTCTGACCCTGTGAGTGGGAGGAGGTACAGGGACTTGATTTTTATCAACGAACTGTGGGTGCTGCATCAGCTGACTCTTGGTTTTGCAGCCTCAAAAACAGTAATCAGATAACAGGATAATGAAGGCTGGAGTTAAACATAGATGCAGTGGGTCCCACCAACATGGTGTCTGAATAAGTATGATAATGTTACCTTTTTAAGTTTTGCTCCTTCCTGTGATAGGAAAGAGGAGTCAAGAATCTTATTTCTGTAAAAAGAGTCATTATACCCAGTTTTGCTCATTTCAGAGATCCTGATCTTTTATCAGATTATGGATTATACTGGCTTCTGTGGAACATTGCTTGCTACTCCTATAGCTATATTTTGAGTCATTTGGTGAATTTTTTTTCCCCCCTCATACTTAAAGTACTGCCTTCCCCAAGGCACAAAAAGTATCTTTGTTGTGCGTACTTACTGTAAACTTTCAGCAGCAACTTGCATGCTACCCTCCATCCCCTCCATTTCACAGAGGGAAGCCAGAGATCATAGGTAGCAACCTGGATGTCTTGGTGACAGTAGGTTTGTCTGAGAAGGTATGTGAAGACTATCGTCTGGCCCAAGAAGTGTGCAATGCCATCTCCAAACTTGCCAGTAACCCAAAGGTAAGACTCTTAGCCTGTCCTTGAGGTCAGAATAATCCTTATTCAAAAATGAAGAAGGAAGAAGAGTGGTTTATGCTGAGAAGAGAGAAATGTGATAAGCATAACAAAAAAAAAAAAAAAAAAACAATTTTGAAATGAAGTGGGCTGAAGTCGTTCAGCAGCCCTGTCTGGAAAGCTTATCACAAAACATGTACTAAAAATATTTGTATTAAGCACGGGCTGAATTCAAATCAGAAGAATGTTCAGTGCACAAGAAAACATTCTTTTCCTTACAATTCCCTTCCTCAGACCCCTAGTTCTAAACTGGTTTGTCTCTCCTCAACCATGAAGCCCTTTTTCCTAATGATGTTTTCTGGTGTTGTGATTCTTTTGCCTTCCCTGCTCATTGATGTTTGGGAGTTGCCAGCTGTACAGCTGAATATAAAACATTACAGGCTTTCAAACCTGTTCATGTTGTAAGTGGTGGCCTGTCAGATGACTCAGATGACTTCTTTTTAGGGGCAGCAGTTTATAAATCCATCTCTCCTTTTCTCTCTCTCGGTCTCTTTCTCTTTTATGCACTTGTAAAATCCTCTTTGCCTGTTTTTGACCTGAGCACTTGGGACATTTGATTCAGGAGTTGTTCTGGCATAAAAGCAGCCCTGCTTCACACAGAACAGCTATTCTGGTATTGCCCCATCCATTGGGGACATTACTGTAGGACATTCATGAATTAACACACATTATAGCATTCTTAAGAGCTCTAAAATTGAGTCACAACCATCTTGACATCACTTATTCCTGCT